AATTAGCGTCCATAGGCGACAATTCCCCGTGAAGTTTTATACTTTGCAGATTGAGAACAGTATAGTGTGTGTAAACAGTGTGTGATCACTTTAACAACTGGTAACAACGTATCGTAGAAATGGCTAAGGCCTAAATCCCTAATAATCTGATATGCTCCGGCGACCCCGCCGTGCCCATGGCCCAGTGGCCGTGCCCAGTCGGACGCTGCGCGCTCTGGTATGTACAGGTTCAGCTTTTTCTCACTTCTTAGGACAGATGTAAGTGTAAGAATGCGAAGGCGCGTGTGACCCCCCTTGCTTGGGGAAACAGCTGCAGACTGACTAGTCACCGTAACATAAAATCACGACAATCTAAGTAGATGAACAAAGTCAGGTTTCATAACAATATCTTTCATTTACTACATATCATTCATTTGACAAGGTATCGCAGTAGGTGCAAATGACAATCCCAAAAGATATTCGCAACCAGTATGCACAACAGCCACCTAATATCTGCTTACAGAACCTCGGCTACCAGACAACTACCTAAACCTACGGCCTACTCCACAGGATTGTAAAAGTAGGGATGTTTCTAAAATATACATTTATTTCAATATAAAAACTGCTACAGTGAAAATAAATGGGTGCCATTATGTCCGTGCATCACCACGGACATAATGGCACACCACATGCTCAATTACACAGAAATGTTACGTACAGAACAATAGAACAATGCGTTTTGGCTGCGAACATCTATGATACCACTTATCGGTCCCTTCTTACATCTGCTTGAAGGATTCCCCCCACCCCCGCTATTCCAAACAACGGGTCTTCTGGACCATTCCAATTTGCCTCAAAATTGTAGGGGTGCATTTCAAATATTACATTGACCGCGAAAGCAGCAACGGCAAACATACACATTCGTGCATCAGCAGACGACGTACCGATTACACAAAGGGAACCCAGTGTTTTGACTGCGAACACGAAAAAAACGGCTGTTCACAACACTCCGATCCGTCCGAACGTCCAGACCTCCTTCACGGAGTAAGTAGTAAGTAATAAGCACGCACACGCACGCGAACACCTTTAACCTTTACCTTTATACGATCTTGAGGAGGCACCGCCTGTGGAAATCGCGATCACACAGACAGAACTAGCCTGGGTTCCAGACCCATATCACACTGACTGGACACAAAATATCTCACTGAGATATTTTGTGTCCAGTGTGCTAATTATTACACGTGTATGGGTCTGGAGCCAAGGCTAGGACAGAACACACGCAAACAAAAACAACAGCTGCACCAAAAATTATTTATAAGCCGTAGAAGGCTGGGTAGTGGGTACTGATGGCCATGTTTCCCCCTGAATGATCATTTTGTACAGAAAATGGACTGCAAATAAGTAATCGTAATACCAGACGGAGAAAATTATATACGTGTGAAACAAGGACTTGTGTAAAACAACAACGCATCAGCGCTAAACGCCTGACCAAAAATCAAAGGCGATTATAAATTCAAATGAACGATGCAGCGGTTTATAGCGTTCAGGCGAACAAACCACAACGACAAAATTTTAACACATCAACAAGGAGACTATACTTTCACTACCTTTTCCGGTTTCCCGGGCACCCCTCCAGATGTGCTCAAAATTCCGCCAAACAGGGGATCCCCACACTAGTCACAGCATGCATATGCACACTACGTGCAGTACGTCCATCTGCCACCCACTAGAGTAACGGATCTGTCTTGTATTTGTCCCCAAAGTTCCGTTAGTTGTCTGTACGTTGGACCTTACCTGCCCAAAGCCAAATGTTTGAATCGGCAGCTCTCACCTTCAAACTTTTCCAACCACCAGTGTGTACCGAAGTCCTCGGGGGCGCTGTGTGGGTGGGTCACATACTCAAATCACCGCCCTGTCACCGCGCTCACTTCCGTCCGCTGGTGTTCTCCAGTCTGCTGTAAGGGTGAGACGCTGACCTTTGCCCTTTTAATCAATTTATCAAGATTTTGACACGTCACCACCGGGCTATGGAAATTCTTCAATCTCCAAGAGGGCTTGTTTGCACGGTCTATTGACATTACTTTTTTCGTGACGCCTGTTTTCA